GTCGTCGTCGTTTCAAATGATTTTTAACCATTTAAATCAGACATGATGATGATGATTTATTTCATAATTGCTGTCAGGTACTGTAGCAATGCACCATGGCGGAAAAAACCAACTTGGCCCAGGACTGCCCCGGCCGACTTGTGACTGGTCCTGGTCAGTGACAGAACTTATTATTTAAACAGGTTTTTGAAACAAATTAAGGGCATAACCGCTGGGTAACGGCTATACGCCGGGTAACCGCTATACGCCGGGTAACCGTTATACGCCGGGGTACGCCGGGTAACCGTTATACGCCATAGCTTTAAGTAAGTAAATTACATCAGGGTAACGGTTATACGCCACTGGCGAGAGCCCTCCCCCCGTTAGTGGGGGGCTCTCGCCATGGCCGCCAAATTGAAATTTACAAAATTGATGTTTTTCAGTTTTTCAATTTTTCCCCAGCTGACTGCAGGAAGTGACGCTGGCACTGCCGCGGCTTCAATGAGAGATTGGCATCTCAGCCGACGACGGCTACATCCGTTGTTGTCAGTGACCCTGATTGGACTGACGGGCTGATTAAATTTAAGTGATTAATAAATGACTTGCTGACACTTCAACTTCGACATTGACATTGATGTTTTCAAGTTTGATGATCATCTCAATCATCGCATCTTCATCAGTGCTGCCAGTCAGCCGTAAATAACTTTATAATCAATTTAATGGTTATTGTTTAATCAGAAATTAAGATGGCAGCTGAAGTAAAATTGTTAGTCATTTGGCCCAATCGGGGGGATTTGAGACGGCAAGGATATCGATGCGAATTGCATCGGCGCTTCCAAGTTTCAAAAGCCCTGGCAGCTGAAGGAGCTGAACTATTAAAGTCACATTCATGTTTTACTTCAAAAAAGTCGCCTTAAATGACGGTTGTCCAAGACATGAATGATCCCCACCCTTCAGCTTTTTAAGACCTTGGGCTGATTTGTGAAACGGTCGAAGTCGCTGTCTTAGACTAGACAGCCTCAGCGGCGGTGTGCCCAGAACTCAGTGACGCCAAAGAACGTTTTGTCCAAACATTATTATTGTATAAAGTCGGAATGAACTGAACAGCTTTATAAAATAATCACATGCCATGCAAGTTCCAGCAAGTAGCTTAGACTAATACCTGCCACCACATCACTGAGAAGACGCAAGGACTGCAGCAATGAAATTTAAGACAGCGGGCAAAAAAAGAGTTTCTTTCTGGTGATGACTGATGACATGATGACTTCGGTCATGACACAGCTTCCGATCAAGCTTGCAAGCCCTGAAAAGTCCTCAAGAAGGTCTTTTTCAGGCAAGCTTGGTCGTGGAACTTCATCGCAATCAAGCCCTGAAAAGTCCTCAAGAAGGTCTTTTCCGGGCAAGTTTGTGGTGGAACTTCATCGCAATCAAGCCCTGAAAAGTCCTCAGGAAGGTCTTTTCCGGGCAAGTTTGTGGTGGAACTTCAATGCTTGCAAGCCCTGAAAAGTCCTCAAGAAGGTCTTTTCTGGGCAAGCTTGCTATTTATATTATATTATTTTACACGTTGTCGTCATCGTGTCGTGACCGAACTGCATGATGACAATGATGAAGACGATGATAAGAGGACTAAGTGAAGGCAAAGTGAATCTGAAGATAATGATGATGACGATGATAATGATGATGCCAATGACGACAATGATTCTGATCCGCGGATGCTTCAGTGGTTTTCGCCTCAAGCGTTAAGTCCTACTTCTATTCTGAGCCATGTCGGTGAATGCTTCGAAGTGGAAGCTGAACAAAAAAAGAAGAGAAGATGGTGGCAGAGGAGGCTGAACAGCTTCATGAAAAGCTGCTGGGGGAAGGGGTGGCAAAACAACAGGCAGCAAAACAAAAAGATGAGTTCACCAAGAAGCGATCGTTAGAGATCAAGCAGCAAAAGGCTCAGGCCAGTGCTGCGCGCAAAGAAGCTGCGGGAAAGGCACCCGAAACCATCGCCACCGCCGCATCAACTACTGAGGTGCAGTCTTCTGCCATCATGGCAGCAACACCAGTGTTGAACAACGCCTACTTCCAAGAGATCCAAAAGGCTTATGGTGTGGTCACCAGCCACTTCAAAGGCATTGAGTCGGCGGAGCCCCTGAAGATCACTGGCGATGCGGCCGAGCAAAGCGGGTGTCAGGCAGGGCTCCATTAACTACTGATCCAAATAACCAAAATAACTTCAGCGAAAATATATTTAATTTGAATTGAACATTCAAACTTGGACGTTCAAAGTTAAGCATCGCCGCAGGCAGTCTTCAATGCCGATGAAGCCAAAATTAGCTTGACCCGCACAGGCTGTTACCGGGCAGCAGGGAACATTTTCAACTTAGACCTGTTGTTCTCACCCACCCCAACGGTGCCACTCAATTTGTCAAGGGTGCAGGCTTGGGCTGACCATGCTTTCTCCGATGGCCCCGTTCATTTGAGAGACTGCACTGTCGTCATGGTGCCGACGCCTGATGAAGACATCGTGGGATTGAAAGGTAAGTGGAAGCAGGTGTCTCCCGAGGAACTGACTCATGGATTCATCCTCAAGCTGTCCCAACGGATTCTGGCAAAAGGGCAGGTGGCCGCAACAGAGGATGAACTCAATTTATGGAAGTCAGTGGCTTTAAGCTGGCCAATGCAGTTTGAGGTCATTCTTGGGGAGGACAAGTTGTATTGGCCCCCTGGCTGTAAATGTTGTTCAGCTCGCATTGTTAAGTTAGTCAGCCGGTTCCCGTTTTTGCACCGGTCGTGCCAACATAATAATGATAGTATATGATAGTTAATAATATCATAATAACAAAATAATAAATAATAAGCGGCTTGCCTTCAACTAAGGGCCAGCTACAACTGTCGCCAACAGATCATCCAGAGGAACGACAGCATCAAACGAACTTGTCGGCAATTATGCCATGAAATCGTTGGGGTCCGTGAGCGCAAGTCTCAAGAGATTGGTGAGCCAGTGACAGTCGACAAGCTACAGCAGCTTTACAAAACCCAGGCCATGCAAGCTGAGTCCACCAAGGTTGAGTTCAGCGACAACTTTGTGAGCAACGCCATCATGATCTATGACAAGATTTTGCAGGACCCGGGCTGCAACGAAGTCTTAGATGCCCTTGAGGGCAAGTTCAGCCATGGCTCGTGTCTCAACAGTGCGGCGAAGCTCAAGATTTTGTTGGACAAGACAGATGATCTTGCAATGCGCAGGTTTGTTCTCAACGCCCTGTGGGACAACATCGAGTCCGGTCAAGTCGCGAATGAGCAGGCCAGCCAGCCCAGTGACACTCCCAGTGACATTAAAAACCTTTCAGCTTTCAACCTTTAAATTTAATAATGAGCAGGCTCAGACTTAGCCCGTCATCGTCATGGGCTTCTCAGGGCCGTAATTTGATAAGACTAGCTTGGGGACAGATTGTCAGTCAGTCAGTGGCGTCGTCATTCCAAAAAAGAATTGGACGTGACTTACTTGCAGGTCACTCAAGGATACCTCAAAGGAGGCCAGAACTCAGCATCCGCAATCGAGTTGATCAAGTTCAAGAAGAAGTGTTTTGACTACTTACTGGATGTGGAGATGCACAGGCAGGGGTTTTGCCCACAGGACTTGACGCTCCTACGCTCCAAGATGTCAGACCACAAGAGCTTTCGAAAGAACGTTGCGCCGCTGGAGGGCACTCCGATGAATGGGTGGCAAGCATCACTGAAGCAAAGCTCCATGCTTTGCCTGAAGCTTCTCGAGGAGAGACCAAATTTTGATCTTAAGGCCAAAACTGTTTTATGAATTAATTTGAACTTGATGTTTCTTTAAATACGCAAGGACTTGCTCTACACACCCACATTCAATGGCGCTGCTTCGGCCGTCTTGAAAAAAGGGGGGAAGCAATCGTCGCCTGCCGAGATGTTGGAAGTGGAATCCTTTAATCAGCGCTGGCAGCCCTGCTTGAAGAAGAAAGACGATGAGATTGCAGCGGACAAGGCTTTGAATGAGATCAACATGAAGAATGCTGAAGAGGAAGAGGAAAACGAGGTGTCAAAGCTTCTTCGAGGTGCTGTAGAAGCAAACCCCAATCGCTACACCAAAGGTTCGATTGAGCATCACTGGGCCACTGCATCCCAAACCTTGGGAATCTACGTGACAATTCTGACCGAGCCCGACACCGAATCGCAGCTGACAAAGCTGATCCTTCAGTCGCCAGTAGGCAAGGGCGAAATCCAAGGAACGACTGGGATCTTCAGCTGGATTAATTTTTTGCATTCCAATGAAAACTAAACCCGGAAGCAATTTTGATCGGTTGGTGTTTGCTTTTGAATTTGATTTGGTGATGTCAGTTGATTCAGGAAAGATTGCATTCTCATTCACTTGGATGCCAACTTGATCAGCGAGGCTGCCAAAAGGCCAGACAGGCGCCCCCCTCCCTTGACAGAATCGATGGTCAAAAAGCTTTGCCATGCTGCCCTGCTTGGGCGAGGGGCCCAGCCAGTGGGCAAGAACACGTACCCTGACCTCCCAGTGCCTGGCGACCTCCTGTGTTTTCTTGATGGTGGCCGAAGCTCTGAAATTCTTACTTCGCCCTTGAGACCCACATTGAAAAATGGCAGTTACTTGCACCAAACTAGTTCTTAGAGAAATTGTTCTATGAACTTCGTTGTGATGGCCCATAACTTTCAAGTCTTGAGGCTTGGGATGCTTGCCGCACTACTTGGAAGTGAAGCCGGTCACAGTTTGCATCAGCGAGGACAGCTTGAAAGACAAGCGCAAGAAGGTGCGGGGTGCGCTGCAACAAGTGCAGACAATGCACCTCATTACCAGTGAAGCGCTTGACAAAGTGATCCCTGATCGGCCTCGAAACCGGTATCCGGGAACCACAAGGGGCAACTGCGTGGCCTGGGTCAGCTTGACCGCCCCAAGCGACCACTGGCAGATGACAGTTGAAGAGAAGTCCGTACTTTACGGTCATCATTGCATCGGCAGTGATGCAGCAGCGGCTGATGATGATAAGAGGAAGGGCCATGAAATTGAACCGGCATTTTTCAATTTCCTCCCTCGCACCTTCTACGAAGATATCCTTTCCACTTACTCAGTGGCAACCTGTCAAATTTACTGTATCTTGTTTTTACCTTTTATGTTTTCTTTTTACTTTCTTCATGTTGGTTTCTACTTTGATTGGGTCGTCCAGTAAATCAGTGGTTGGCTTCAGGCCGGTGTGCTCGACCTCACTCCGGGACAAGGTGAACTTGCCAAGGCCTGCTGTGAAAAAAGGATCAAGTACACCGGGATCGCCATGACCACCAAACACCAGG